ATAATCCTCATAACTTAGCAAACCAAACATATATTTAATTTAATTGGGCATTTATAGGAGGATTAGAAATTTAACCTTTTTGTCAATGAAGTCAGCCCAAAACCTTGCCCTTGAACGGCCATACGCACAAGAAGGAAGCAAAGTATTTTTGGTATTAGCAAACTTCTCATCAATATAATACACAATATTTGAGGACTCCACAATTGGCTTGCCACTGTCCAATAAAACAGGAACCTTTTGGTAAATAGGGTTTGATTTTAGAAGCAACTCACTCTTGCCTCCTAACAAATCTTCTTCTTGAGAATCAAAGGCTAAACCCTTCTCAGCTAATGCAATTTTTACCCTCATACAGAATGGACTCACCCAGAAATCTAATAGACGTAAATCTTCTTTTGCCATCCTTAAACTTCTATTTTATCCTTTTTTTTCCCTTTTCTGTTTGTTGTTGATGAAGGCAAGTAGTGAACTTATATAAATGCAAGAATTTGAGTTTCCAAAGCAAAATCTTGTTCCTTTGCCTCCTAAGAAGTCCTCGAGATATTCGTCCCTTTGTTGTTTATGTGTGTCATGATTCAAGAGGTGTATCACGGGTTTATAAATCAGATCATCTAAAAGCTAATTACAGATAGAATAAGTAGATTATAGTAGAGGCGAATCCAGGACTTGAATATGGTGGGTGTATATAAGCAAAGTGCTTAACCAGTGCTCTATCGAACTTTTAATTTTAAGGGTTTCAAGCAAAATATATGACCGTTTTTCAACATTTATATATTTATATATTCAGAATATTTGTCGAAGTTAACAGGTCCGATAACTCCTCTAAAGTGGAGTACTTGTAATATGTAAAATATGATACGTAGTTAACATAAGTTACAATATATTAAACATTATATATATATATATATATTCTTTACACTTGGAGTATATATTCGTTACGTTATATAGCATTTGGACTATCTCATTAGTGAAAATCAAGTATCTGCGCCGGCAACAAAAGAGGTCCACTCATGATAAACTCATGCAAATATATTAAATTAACTCAGTGTTTATACTTCTGGGCAATTTCCGTCCCAAAATGATTTTGTCTCCCCTTTGATATCTTTATCTTTTTTCTTTCCTTATAAATTTAATACGTAGCATCTGATGTCATGTATATAAGTTCCAAGAACATACTTTTCTCCGGCTGTATATATTGAACTCACCAAAGAGGCATAGCTTAAGTGGCAAAAGAAATATTTTAAGATTTTAATGTTAAAAGGGCAACTATACACATAATAATTCCTATTTCTTTTGGTTTCTCTCTTAATTTTGCGATCAGTTATGAACAATTTGAAGTTATGTTTTAAAGCATGTTGCCAAAGTTTTGAAGCACATTGTCAGAATTTTAAAGCATGTTGCTAGAACTTATATAGTACCTTTAACGACCCCATCGGTTATTTCGCTTTTTAGATCTCCGTTTCCTAATTAAGACTCCCTGTATGTAATTTTACTATTTTTATGATTTGCGGGGATGGTTAATTTGGGTTTGGAAGGGTTCGGGTTGAAATCGAAACACTTAGTTCCTTGATAATGACTTAAAATGGTTAAGTTTGACTTGAGTCAATATTTTGAGTAAACGACCTTGGAATCGGGAATTTGAAGGCTCCATTAAGTTCGTATAATGATTTTGGACTTGGGCGTTTGTTCGGATCGGATTTCAGATGACTCGGGGGGCGTTTTAGTGCTTAATGATGAAAATTGGCGCATTGAAGGTTTTTAAGTTCTTTAAGTTTGGTTTGGAGTAGGTTTTGGTGTTATCGAGGTCCGTTTGGGATTCCGAGCCTGCAAATAATTCCGTATGGTGATTTAAGTTGCACGCCAAATTTGGTGTCTGGTAGGGTCTTTGCCTAAGATAACTAGTGGCAAAGTTGTGTATTACTGTTTCGGTGGTCAATGCAAGACTTATTTTACTAGCTTTCGCTTTGCATCTTTCTTCTGGATTTCATGTTCCTATTTTTTCGATGATTTCTACGGTGATACTAACATTGTTTCCCTTTTGTCTTTTTGTTTTCTTGAGCCGAAGGTCTTTCGGAAACAGCCTCTCTACCCCTTCGGGATAGGGGTAAGGTCCGCGTACACACTACCCTCCCCAGACCTCACTAGTGGGATTTTACTGGGTTGTTGTTGTTGTTGCCAAATTTGATGTCATTCTGAGTAGTCTAAGTATGATTCGGCGTGTTCGGAATAAGTTGAAAACTTGAAGTTCATAACTTGATCCAGTTTGGTTTTCGGGTGTGATTCTTAGTTTGGATGTTGTTTTACTTATTTCGAGAGTTCGAGCAGGTCCGTATTATGGTTATAGCCTGTTAGTGCATTTAGACGGGGTCCTGGAGGGCTTGGGTTCATTTCGGGCCGCTCAAAGCTAAGTCAAAATCTGATGGTGTGCTGTTCTGGTTTCCTTCTTCGCGAATGCGAAGGAACGCATGCGATCGCAAAGAGGAAATTAGGGACTGGGTGGTTTTATGTTTTGCGTTCGCGGAGACTTGGCCGCGTTCGCGAAGGATTGGGGCCAGTGGTCTTCGCGTTCGCGGGAGACCTATCGTGTTCGCATAGAGTCGAGGGATTTTAATGTCGGTATTTAGACCTATTTTTCCCATTTCTCACTTGTGTGATCCAAATTTAGAGCTTCTTAGAGAAGGATTTTCATCAAGCATTGTAAGGTGAGTAATTCCTACCTAATATAAATTAAATACATAGATTTTGGGTAGATCCTTAACATGTAAATTGTAGAAATTTTTGGTTTAGTAGAAAAACCTAGATTTTGACAAAAATAAAATTTGACCACGAAATTGGTTATGGAATTAAGTGAAAATTATATATTTGAGTTCGTGAGGCTATGAATACTAATTATCTTCGAAAATTTCTGAAATTCGGGCACGTGGGCACCGAGGCGAATTTTAAGAATCTACTAATTTGGATTGAAAAATTACTTTAATAGCTAAATTATGAACTTTTATCATATATTGATTAATTTATATAATATTTGGATAGTTTCGGATTGTTCGGCACTGACTTGAGGCTTTAGAGTGAATTTGTGGACCGAAAGTGAGTTTTGGAGCGAGGTAAGTCTCTTGCCTAACCTTGTAAGAGGGACTCATCCCCTTAGGTGTATTCTGTTGTGTATTTCTTATGCGGGGAGCTACGTACACACGAGGTGACGAGAGTCCGTGTGTAGCTAAATTCTATGATATTTCGGGGTAGACTTAGATCTACTTCATGCTTTTAATTGTACTGTTGTGATTATCTTGTGTATTGATTGTCTTGAATAGGGCTGAGACTAAGGATATAAAGTTGTGATTATCGATGTAGCCTTCTTATTTTGGGAAATTTGAGGAATAATTAATACCTATGAAAAATTCATGTCCTCTCCCGTCGCAAGTACTTTCGCGAGTGAGGTAAACTTACTACTCTTACGGGATCGGGTCGTTCACCTTGGTAGTACCACTACTCTTATGAGATCGGGCCATTCGCCTTGACAGTATCATATTCTTATGGGATCGTGTCGTTCGCCTCGGCAATAGTGAGTATCATTATTCTTATGAGATCGGGTTGTTCGCCTCGGCAACTTCATGCTTAATAATCGAAATGGGTTCCATATTGAATAATTGAGTTAGTACCTCCACGGTCAGTTATGAGATGTTGGTGATGTGTTACGGAATCCTGTTGTACTTATTGTAATTTCTTTTAATTGACTCATTGATGCATGTTGTTTGCTCACTATGTCTACTTTATGCTCTTTTATTGATATTATTGACCTCTAGTAAGTGTTAAGTCGACCCATCATCACTACTTTTTCGAAGTTAGACTAAATACTTACTGGTTACGTGTTGTTCTTCGTACTCATACTATACTTCTGCACTGATGTGCAGGTACTAAGACAAGTTCCACCAATGGTCACGCAGGCGCGTAGCCGATCGTTACGGAGACTTAGGCGTGAGCTGCTTGCTTTACTACAATGCACAACACCGGAGTCTCCTTCCATTTTATTTACTATTTCTGTCTATTACTTTCAGACAGTAGCTTTAGCAGTTTTGTATATTCTCTAGATTGCTCATGTACTTGTGACGCCGGGTTTTGGGGATTTGTAACACTTTTGGTACTGTTGTACTAGTCACTTCTATAACAATAGACTATGTACTTATTATGTTGACCTTGTTTAAAAAAACTTATCATCCTTACGTGAAAGTTAGTGTAATTTAAAATATGTTAAAAAGAGATAAATAAATGGTAGTTCCGCTTGTGGGTTTGGCTAACGGTGGCGTTAGGTGCAGTTTCGACCTAGTACGAAATTGAATCGTGACAGTATCATACTTCAAAATTCTAGCTCGAGGATATTTTAGTAAAAGTTTGCTGCCAGATCTGGCAACGTGCTTCAAAATTCTGACTTAGGGCTATTTTACTAAAACAAAATCTTAATAGGGTCAAAATATAAATGGCGGTTCTACATAAGTCCATTTGGTGTGCACTGGTGTAAGGCCCAAAAGGCCGAAAGCTTCAAAAATCTTTGAGGCCCATTAGGCCCAAATTACAGTAAAAATAGCACGGTATAGCCAGTTTTCGGACTGGTCATTCAAAAATAGCCAGCGTTTAAGAAGTCAATGAAAAATAACCACTATTTTGCTGCAACAGAGACCGGTCCAGCATAATATACTGGAGTTCGGTGCACCTGTGTATGAACTCCAGCATATTATGCTGGACCGATATACTTTGCTGACTCCAATATAATATACTGGAGACTGGAGCACCGATGCTCCAAAATCCAGTATATTATACTAGACAATTATACTTGCTGGAACTCTAGTATATTATGCTGGAGTTCCAACATACTTATCCTGGAACTTCAGTATGTTTCGAGTTTTGAACAGTTTTTTCGGTCAGATTTATCTTTACATGAAAAGTGACTAAATTTCAATTACTTGGCTATTTTTGAAAGATCGGTTCTAAATATGTGTATGGTTGAATTTCTCCCCAAATTACAAGGTACCTCCGTCCTTCCCCGAATAACAACCAGAATCCGAATTTCGACATTATTCTCCTTTTCTCTCTCACACAGTTACGCCATAGCCATCACCACCTCTACAATAATTTGCTTCCTTCATAATCTTCACCCTCTCAACTAACCTTTAACTTTCCTCACCCCAATCCCCCCCACCCCCACCCCACAAAAAAAGAAGAGAAAATCAATTGATTTTTTTCCTTAGTTCTCTTCAAGAAGATCCAAAATCTCATAATTCTTGAAATATCAAGTCAAAGTTTCAATTTTTCATATTTAACACCTTAATGGGTGTCATTTGAAATCAAGAAATTATCATGTTGGGTGCTGTCCAATTGGGATTATTTGCAGCAGGTGTTGTACTCTTTGTCCCTATGGGTATGGCTGGTTGGCACTTAAGCCGTAACAAGATGCTATTTTTCAGCTGTGCTCTTTTCATTACCCTTGCTGTTGGTGTTCATTTGGTACCTTACTTCCCTTCTGTTACTTCTTTCCTTAGCTCTAATAAACCAAGTTCAGTAGTACCTTTAGAATTTACTGTAAAAAAGGATTCTTGTTTGTCTTTACTTCATCAAGTGTCATTTGATTTTCAAGAATTGAGTATAAATGTGACTAACAGTGTTGAAAATAAGGGTAGTGGTAGAAAATTTGGTTCTTGGAAATGGGTTGAGTCTGAAATTGTTAATGAATGTGATTTTCAAGAATTGAGTAAGGCCGACGCTTCGGATTTATTAAACGGGTCGTGGGTTGTTGTAGCGGGGGATTCACAGGCAAGGTTAATGGTGATTTCTTTATTGGAGTTGATATTAGGGAGAAATGAGATGGAGGTGATAAGAGGGGATTTGTTTAAGAGGCATAGTGATTATAACATTTTTGTTGATGAGATTGGATTGAAGTTGGACTTTATGTGGTCGCCTTACGTGAGTAATTTGACTGATTTGATGCTCGGGTTTAAAGAAAAAAGGGGTTATCCCGATGTATTTGTGATGGGGGCAGGGTTATGGGATATGTTACATGTAAATAATGCAT